ATTGGTATTTATCATGGTATAATGGATTTTTTATTTTTGTTTATGGTTTTACCAATCTTAAGCTTTGGATAAGATAGAGTATGATGGTGGTTGTACAAGTCTAATGTATATAAAAAATGAGTAATAAATATTTTTTTCATAAATATGCAAAAAACTTGATGAAAAAGAGTTTGAATATATAGTCCAGGGCAGAAAGCAATGAGACATGGTTCTATTTTTAAAAAACGGGTTATATAATTGTAAAGTTATAAGACACAGTTCTATGAATAAAGACCGGCTTATTTAATTTTAGTATATATCCCGTTTCTTAATTTAAATCGGGTCATATTACAATCTCCCATATAGAACCCGATTTTTTAATAATATATCCCGATTTTTCTAAAAATCGGGTCCTAATTGACGAGTGTTACAATGCTTTTTGTAGTAGTGATATAAACCGAACATACATGTATCTCTCTTAAAATCATTATTTTTTATTGGCATCAATTTATTAATGTAATTGTTTTCCGATTGTCATCTCCATAAACTTTTTTTTGGTTGGCATCTGTTTAACATAACTTTTTTAACCTGATTCATTTTTGAAGTAATAAGGATTCAATTTTTTTTATTAATGTATGGACAACTCTTTTGCATTAATGAGATATAAATAAAAGTTCGTCTAAACATTTATAGCTTCAAACATATTATTTACTCAATATATCCATGGTTGCTTATGTTTATTCCGAACAACAAAAGTTTATCACAAACAAATCAATCGTTATATCCAAAATTAAAGAGCTATAATGCACTTCAGTTAAATCAATTACAAAACTATGTTTTCTTTAATATACTTCTTTCTTTATGTCATGAAAATTTAAATATATTTTCTTAATAATATCCTTTTAAGAAATTAAATATCCTTCTACTTTTTGATCCTACCAATCATTCTACCCATTTAAATGATGACATATGTCATATTAGTATCCTACAATATCATTAAATCTCATTAAATAAACATTAAATGTTACAGATGCTACAATTTCATTGGGTAGGATGATATGTAGGAACAAAAAGTAAAATGATATTTAATTTCTTTGTAGTTGGATTTGATATGGCAGATGATGAAAACAAGTTTAGATTTAGTCATTTTCTCATTTACTGTCACTTGTTAGGCATACATGGCTAATTGTCAACGAGGTAAGAAACTGTTATTATTATCATTCTGGAAGTTGTACATTTATATGTTTATGATAAATTAATCATTTTTCCATTTTATTTAAAGTAAAAGCCATCTCAATATGATTTTATGACGAATTTGCTTTTTATAATTGTGAACAAAATTTATATCATAGAAAGTATCTTTAATGCTTACAAGAAATAATATTTTCTTGAGATGAAACCCAAAGTAATGCACAATCCACAGCTTCTTTTTATCCATAATTTAAATATGTGAGATAGACTTTGTACAGTTACTTTTTAAATCATCTCTTAAATCATATTTGTATTTGTTTCCTTTTTGTCTTTATGTGATGTGTATGGCAGGATGTAGAGGACACGGTTATATGGCTAAAGAGTTTGTCAAAATAACAAATCTGGTAAGAAATAATAAATTTTTTTAATGCTTCTAAATCAGATATAAATATTTTAATTTATTATTGTGATGTAATTAATTGTAGTTATTGCCCAAATGACTTTTATATATATATATATATATATATATATATATATATATATATATATATATATATATATATATATATATATATATATATATATATATATAAAAGTTCAACAGTGAACCATTATTAATCAAGGAATCAAGGAAGCAATCAAAAGAATCGTAGTTTAAATCGATCAACGACAAAAGAAAGGTTGTAGACTTTACAATGGACGTCCATGCACCAGATTATAACAAAACTCACTTTTTTAGTTTAATTTTTTGACGTTTCTTTATCGAAAAAAAAAAAACGAATATATACCGTTGTTCATGATTTTTCATCATCTTTCCATAAAAATCAATATTGGTATATAAAAAATGAATTTGTTTTCCAAAAAAAAAAAAAAAAAAACCATTTCATTTGCTTTGTTTTTTGAAAAGTTAAGTACTATCACTTATCAAAAAAAATTAATAAATATATCAAAATTCATATTGTTTGTTATTCTTTAAACACAGATTCATATTAATGCTAAAAAAAATCAAAATTTCAGTTCAGATTCACATTATGAATCTTCTCTAATTCATAGTGTGAATAATAGTAAGTAATATTCATACTGTGAATTCTGAAAACTAAAAAGTAAATTACATGAATGGTCCTTATGGTTTGGGTTAATTTACGCGTTTGATCCCTAACTTATTTTTTTTAACTCGGAAAGTCTCTACTGTTTGTTATTTTACGCGCTTGGTCATGCTATTTGTTTTTGTTATGCGCTTGATCCATTTCTTACCTAAAAAGACTATTATTTAAATAGAAAAAATAATGGGGTAGGTAAGGTAAGATGAGGGGAGTATGTTGAGAGCGTGTTTATTTAAATAAATTAAAAAATAAATGGAAAACTAGTTTTTTTAGGTAAGACAGTGACCAAACGCGTAAAAAAAAACAAACAATTGGGACCTTCCGAGTTAAAAAAATAAGTTAGAGACCAAACACGCAAATTACCCTAAACCATAGGGACCATTTGTCTAATTTACTCAAAACTAAATTATATACGGTTCAGATTCACAATGTCGATAAATTAATTTCTTGATTTTACAAAACTAATTTACGAGTAATCAAACAGTTAAAATATTATTAACCTATATGGAAATTTAGTTTGATTCATATGTAAATTTTACATAATTTGTGAATGATTAAGTAGTCGAAATAATAAGTCAATT